GAAGAAAAAAAAGTCTGTTCACTCCATGAGAGAGTGTAAGGCACCAGAGCGTTCAGCTCCACCCCTCTCAGGTGTCCTGTTTGACAGGTACGGAGTGGAAACAATGTGTGGTATGGCTGCAGCCGGTTGAACTGGCTGCTTCAGATCGAAGGATAACAGCTGAGTGATGCCTCTTCTAGTCAAGAGTGTTACAATGAAGTTCTGCTGCCTGTCTGAAGGAAACGAGTCAAGACCAGGGTGGATGTAGTTAAATGTCCTAGAGAAAACAGTTCAGATCCTTCATATAACCGTAAATACGATTTAAGATTAGTTTAGAAATCTGATAGTCATTAATTAAATGTTTTTAATTGGGTAGTTTCTCCTTCTAATATCGAGTCGAGTCATCGTAGGAAGATGTGTCCAAGTCAAAGTAATCCTCCAGCTGCCACTGCAGCGTCTCAAACGTGGGCCGCACTTGTTCATTTTCTTTCCAGCAGTTCATCATGATTTTGTGCAGAACTGTTGGGCAATTGGGAGGACACGACATCCTGCGGCCCTTGGCAAGCCACTGGACCGCCTGCATGTTGGACATACCTGAAAGAATCACAGAAGACATGAGTACTGGTCTAATGGGAGAAAACTTTCCACTAAGCAATGTAAATCTGACCTGGGTAAGGTGTCTGACCAAACGTCATGATCTCGTACAACAAAATTCCAAAGGACCATACATCAGATTTGATGGTGAACCTGTTTTCATGGAGCGCCTCTGGAGCGGTCCACTTTACCGGCAATTTACATCCTTCTTTGGCTTCATACACATTCTCATTTTCTTTCTAAAAACAAAACAGAATAACAATAAGAAAATTTTCAGTGGGTCAATGTTGGTGTAGAAATTAAACAAAGAAGACAAACCCAGATGAATACCTTAAAGCTTCAGGACCAAACAAAGCAGGACTTCACGAAAACAGAAAAGTTCAAATATCACACGCACCATAAAAACCCTGGCGAGGCCAAAGTCTGCCACTTTACAGATGTTGTTCTCCCCAACGAGGACGTTCCTGGCTGCCAGGTCTCTGTGGATGTAGTTCTGTGACTCCAAGTAGGCCATGCCTGCTGCCACCTGGGCCGCCATCTCAATCTGGTCCGTGATTTGTAAAGTGGTGCCCCTATCTTCTGCAATCCAGGTGGACATGTACAGAATCAGTCACAGTCTCATCTTGTTTAAAGTGTCATAAAGAGCAAAGTGTGAAGGGCCTGATCCAGTTTTCTTTTCTGGTGTTCTGCTTCTGAAAATAGTCTAATTTCTACCATCTTTGTGACACTCCTGATCTATACTCTATGACAACAGGTTGAGGATGGATTGTAAATGAAGGCACAAGGTGCTTGCCACAAAAAAGGTAGAAGGAAATGCATTAGGATATTCTAGAATTGCGCCGCTCAGGGTGGCTGCATGTTCGAGAAGCTTTGTTACTTTCATTCTGAGATTTTGCTTTTGGAAACTAATTTCTCTTTCGGGATGTAAATCACATTTTTTTGGATGATTGTTTCCTCTGGTATCAGATGCTGTGCAGCTGGAAGGATTTTTACTGAAACTTTTTTTTACTTTTGGACATTTATGATGCGTAACCATGGCAACAAGGCAGTTTTCTACAACCAACAGCAGCTGATTAACATCTCAAAAGCTCAAATAATATCTCAACTACAGCCCCAAATCTCAAATGAGTTGAAAAGGATGTTCTGTGGATGCATTCTCATCTACCTGCCAGCTGTGCTCGAGTGCCTGACCACTGAGATCCTGGAACTAGCAGGAAACATTGCTCATGACAGCGGAAGGACAGGATCGTTCCTCAACACCTACAGTTGGCTATCCGCAGTGACGAGGAGCTCGGCAGACTGCTGGGAGGAGAGGCCATTGCCCTGGGAGGAGTTCTGCCTGGCACTTGGGCGGTCCTACAGCCCGGGGGAATCGAGAGACCAGCTGAATCTGGGTGGACGGATCGGACAGCATCTGCAGCCAGTTTCTTAGGATCCACTGTGGGATGGACCTTTCCAAGAGATCCTTCCTGCCTACAGCCATCAATATAACATCTCTTAATGAAATGAGGATAATGAGTTACAACAACATTTAATTTCCCTTTGGGATTAATAAAGTATTTTTGAATTGAAAATTATTTTGCTGGATGTAAATCACTTTCTTTGGATGATTGTTCCCTCTGGTAGTGGATGCTGTGCAGCTGGAAGGATTTTTACGGAAACTTTTTTTTACTTTTGGACATTTATGATGCGAAACCATGACAACTTTTTTTTTTTTTTTTTTAAACAACGGTGAACAGCTGATTAACAATTCAAAAAACGTTCAATACAAAAACAATTGGACTTTATTTGTAACAGAAGACGTTTCGCTCCTCAACATCTTCTGTTACAAATAAAGTCCAGTTGTTTTTGTATTGAACGTTTTTTGAATTCATCATGTCCTGGATGACTGAGAATCTTCACCAGCTGATTAACATCTCAAAAGTTTAAACAACATCTCAGCTACAGCCCCAAATCTCAAATGAGTTGAAAAGGAGGCTCTGTGGATGCATTCTCATCTCCCTGGTGGCTGTGCTTGAGTGCCTGACCACTGAGATCCTGGAACTAGCAGGAAACATGGCTCGTGACAGTAAAAGGACCGGGATCATCCCCCAGCACCTGCAGCTGGCTGTCCGCTGCCACAAGGAGCTTGGCGGGCTGCTGGGAGGAGCGACCATCGCACTGGGAGGAGTTCTGCCTGGCATTTGGGTGGTCCTGCAGCCTGGGTTAACAGGAGGCCAGAAGAGTCTGGTGGACAGATTGGACAGCATCTGCGACCAGTTTCTTTGGATCCGCTGTGGGATGAACCTTTGAGATTCTTACTGCATACAACCATCAGTATCCAGAACATCTCTATGAAACAAGGATAACGAGTTACAACATTTAATTTCAGTTTGGGATTAATAAAGTATTTTTGAATTTCTTAAAATAAATAAAATAAAAAATAAAAAAAGGTTTTTATTGTTAAAATTGGTCAATACGACAGTTGAAAGAGAGCTTTTTATCAATCACAGTGCTGAGGTATTTATGAGTTTTTATAAAATAGCCATGCTGTTTACACACAATAGGCGATGTGGCTCATGGCCTTTCTTGTGCTGGCAAACAGCCTTTTAGTCAGCATTTCGAGTAAGTTTGAACTGAAGTTGATCTGATTGGATGGAACGGAATGCAGACTGCAGACTCAAGGACCAATAATAGACTTCGCAGTACAATGAACCACCATGTCATCATCATCTCTATACAGACATAAGTAACATTTTGACCACCATTAATAAACTAAACAGAATACAGTACAGAATAATGTCTTGTGGGACACCTTTCATAATTTTCTAATAACCTGATGATAGACCATTGTGTTGTTCACATTGTTGACGTCCACAGTTTGAAAACCATCCGACTACTGTGAAAGACCAATCTCTAAAAGTTACTGACAAAGGATGAATGATTTAAAATTAAAAGCCTTGGATAAGTGAATGAAAAGAGCAGCAAAGAGTCTTGGTCACCCAGGGCTCTACGGTATCATTTAGCATGCCAGTGATGGCTGTTCCAGTGAACGTTTACTCAAACTAGACTGATGACTAGATAAATGTTTGGAAAACCAGGTCATCTTTAAGTTGTTTCCAGGACCTTAGCTACAAAATAAAGTTTTGAAATGGGATCCTTATTTTAAAAAATTGGACCACCACCTTTTAAAAAGGGACAGGAAAAAAAAGTGGTCTTCCACCCTCCTGGAATGACAGTTCGTAATTAAAGATTAAAAATGTGTGACACTGGTTCTGCTATGATGTCAGCTCCCACGTACACAAGTGCGAGGAAAGGTCATCGGGGCCTGCAGATCTTTTAGGATCAAGTCTCTTCAAAGCCTCAGAAACTTCACTAGTAGACATGGAGAATGAAACAGTGTGGCTGCTGATGGCATGATCGGTTAGGGTAATAGAAGGTTAATGTAAGAGACCGTGTCAAACAAGGATTCAGAGTCAGTAAAATGCCTGTAAAAACAGCTGAACAGATCAGATTTATTACATACGATCCTGGAGTTAAATGGTGGGGTAGTTCAAGTCAATGATAATTTCCTGGAACTGAATTTACAGCTTGCCAAAATGTATTTGTGTCATTCTGGTCATTTGTGAAAGAGAATAGTCTCCTTTAGCTTTTCTAATTGTTGAAAATGCAACCATCAGCCTAAGAGCCAGACATTCTTACCACTGTCCAAAGCTGGTTTCTCATGTCAAAGCTTTGCAAAGTCAGCGGTAAACCAAGGACAGACTTAAACTTTTTACTCTTCTGCTGAGAAGGTGCAATAAACTATGCACTATTGGTACTATAAAAAAGGTACCAATAAAATGATTAAACTGATAAAAGTTGGTTCACGCAAGATCAACATCAGCAATCAAATTACAACTCCAGTAAAATGAAATGGATAATTTGTTAGAGTTCAATTTTACATTTACTCCGTAACTATGAAGAAAGCATTTGATAAAATCATTGAGGCAGAAACTTTTGAATATTCTGACATTAAATGGTTTTCTATACAAAGTTCAAACTAGCTGCTTATTAAATACCAGCTGCATGTTTATGAGTGGCAGATAATTTAACAGGAATTTAATTCCCAGGCTGATGTAAGCTCTTTAACTTCATTGTCAGACATCTTTTTTTTTGGTCAGTCTGTCACTCGGCAGTCTTCTCTTTAATACTGAACACTTGAAACAAACTGGACCTCCATCCCTTTACTGCAGCAGGATCAAACTGTTTCATATAACAAATGGCTTTCATTTGATCAGAATGTTAATAAAATTTTGTACTATACCATGCCACTTTATTTATAAAGCACTTAAAAAAACGCAACAACGCCAACCAAAGTGCTGTACAGTCAAAAATGCATAGATCCAAATAAAGATAGTAACTACATGACTAACATTATAGAATACAGACAAGTTAAAATCAACTCAGTGTCAAAAGCCTGGGAATAAGAGTTTTTAAACGAGACTTAAACAGTGAGAGTGGGAGCCTGCCTGACATGCAGTGGTAACTCATTCCACAGTCTTGGACCTGCAACCTGTCACCTCTGAGCTTAAGATGGGCTCCTGGAACCAATAAAAGCATCTGGTCTGCTGACCTCAGATCACTGTGGAACATACGGCTGAAGCAGATCAGTGAGATGTGAGAGGGCAGAACTATTCAAAGATTTAAGAAACGTACAGATGGATTTTAAAATTAATTCGAAAGTGAACAAGGAGCCAGTGCAGGGATGTTGTTATCTTAGTTAACATGTTAATTATCATTATTTGAGGAAAAACGTGAATTGATCTAAATTGGTAGTGGTCCACAAAATTAAATATGGGTGTGACTCTAGGTATGATATCAATAGTAAAATGAGGTGTGCTGTAGAAAAGAAAGAAAAAAAGAGCCACCAAAAGAAACAATTACAAACAATGCTGAAATGCTGCTGGTTGTTAAAATAAGGTGCTCTTACTTTGAAGATACTCCAACAAGCTGCCGTTCTTCATCAGCTCGGTGATGATGTAGATGGGTTCCTCTGTGGTGCAGACAGCGTACAGCTGGATCAGCTTGGGGTGTCGCAGCTTCTTCATAATCTGCGCCTCTTGCAAGAAGTCTATGGGGTCCATTGAACCTAGAACAGTGGGTGGGTGTGGTTGTTAGACTTGACCAAGAAAACAAGCTCAAATAAAGTTAAATCATGTAATCTGGACAGATTGTTATGCACTGAGATTATTTTAGACTGATGGTCTCTTGTTGCATGTGTAAAGCAGTTTCTGGGAACTCCACAGCAGACTGGTTTGAAACGCGTCAATGAGGTGCCATTTATACGATAGATCCTGTTTGCAGGCCTCAGACTGAAAGTCTTTCAGATGAAAGATGAAACGTTTCTTCCAAGACCGATCTATCCAGATGACATGATTTAAATTTTTTGGTGTTTTATTTACCTAGATTATTGATTTTACACACCCTTCTTTTAAACCTCAAAGCTGGATTAAAAAAGGAAAAAGAACAAATAGATTCATCGTTGATCAGGACTTTACGTCTTCAGATGATCCTTCAGTGAAGACGGTCCATGTGTGGACGGTCAGAGTCATCTCTACTCCAGACTGAGTCACACCATCACTGATGTGAAAGTGGATTAAACAACTGCCTGTGGTGGTACTGGGTGAACCACCCTTGTGTGTGTATTTTATAGTTTACAAAGTCTTGCTCTCAATATCTAACGAGCACATGCAACTGAAGGATCTGAGCCAGTCCACATCCTCTACAGAACTGGGTTCGTTTTCAAAGCTGTTGCTAGAATCCAACAAAACCCAGGAGCAAATCTAGCTGGAAGAATTTGTTATTTTAACAGCACTTTTTAAATTTAGATTTATATTGCCATTACAGTACCCCTTCCTTACACAGAAAATGTTTTTCTACATTGTTCTCTAGATTGAGCGCACCCCAGTCCGGTAGTGTCCACCAGAATCCAGAACAAAAGGAAATCAAGTGTGCTGGAAACAGTTGTGTCCAACTGCAGTGCAACATGTGGAGGATGACAGCACCAACTTAACTTGTTTAAATACAAATAATACTATGAGCAGAGTCTTTGCACCTTTTGATTTTAATTCATTATATGAATTAATACTTTGAGCAACTAGATGTGATGTTTTCTACATACTTGTTTTGACTGTTTTCTTAGATATGGAATCACAGGTTTATGCCATATCATCTATACCACAGGGACTGCAGATTAAATTATACACTGCATCTTTACTCAGTTTGAGTTGGTTTTTCATGGTCCCTGTCAAATCGAGGCTGATCACTCAGACTGCCATCACTGTCTTCATCTCTTTAAACAGATATTTTATGGTCAAAATGTAACTGGAACATTAGCATTACAGTAAACATGCATCATGAATTCTGGAAGTTTACTCCTTCATCTCCATCAGGATGAAGATCTGATCCACTGTTCCATGACCAGGACTCCTCCCGAGTCCGAGGTTCAACAATCGGACAGAGCCTCCCTTCCTACATCTTTAAAGTCCACTTTCCTGTGGAGGTGGTGGAGTATGGAGTCTTGATAGACCCATGTTTTCAAGGTACTTTCCACCTCATTGACATTTATTTTCACATTCATGTAAAGTTGACAATTTATGTACCAGGCTTGAGGGTCTTTACTGCCACCGATGTGGTCCCGTTCCACAGACCCTCATGGACTTCACCAAACTGTCCAGCTCCCAACTTCCTCTTCAGTTCGATAGATTGGCGTTCGATCTCCCACAGATCCACCGTGTTGTAGGACAGGCCGTAGGTTTGAGGAGCTTCCATCTGCATCTGTTCGGACAGAGGAGTCAGTTAAAGTTAAATATCCAGTGAGAAAATAAACGGTTTGTGTTCATGTACACGTTACCTTTTTGCACGGTTCACCCAGACGCACACAGAGACCATTGGCCTGTTCAGTGTAATAGTCTACTAGTTCCTTTATAGTTGCAAAGGGTTTGGTCTTTGACACGTAGACGTAACCATTTTCTAACTTTTGAAGCTTGTAATGTTTCACTTTGCCTTTGTCCAGCACTGAAAAACACAACAAGTCTTAGTAATCCTCAGACCACGCTTCAATTCCTAACCAGACAAATCACTGTAGTGACACTTTATCCACGCTGCTGATTATCCATGCTGCCGATTTCTTACCCATCTGCTCACAACAGACTCATGGTCAGGCTGCTGTTTACCACACCTTATTTACATTATTATTGTTAGTGTACATCTTAGCACTTTGATAACAGTTACCGTTTTAAATGTGCTATATAAATAAATGTGACTTGACTTAGATCCTTGTATACAGTTTATTTTTATTTATAGCATTTTTGGGGGGTATAACTGGACTTGTGTACATAATTTTGTTGCACCTCATGTACCACATGTGATGTGATTGACAATAAAGAACCTTGAACCTTGATGCAGGTGAGACTAGGGAGAGATTAGGAAAGAAAGCTACAAAGCTTTAATGGGTGCAATAATTCACCAATTTATCTTGATAGCTTTAAAACCATCAACCACTGAACAAATCCAGGACTGACTGGAAATGAGCAGCAGGTTATTGAGTAAGAGTCACTCTAGGAAAACAAAAATATAAAATGTCCATCGAAACTCGCTGCTGTATCATCGAGGAGCAATTCTGTGCTTGTTACCTAATCACTAATTCAACCATTAGACTTGGGCTCTATCTATAGCTGGGAAGAAGGGTCAAGTCTGCAGAAACTTTGGTAACGGTTTGTCTTACCTGAGAGAGACAGCTCCCCTTTCAGACTTTCAGAATTTCTGATGAGGAAAGCACCTTGATCGTTGCCTTCAGCCAGCAGCATCCTCTCTGCATCCTGCCTCTTTGTGTCTGGAAAATACCACCTGCAGGAGACACACACACACACACAAACACTACTTTAGTCTTAAAGTCATAGAAAGAAATGGATCAGCATTGAAAGACTGACTTCAGGAAACTAGTGAAATGGTATTTATTGGAATATAATCACAATAAAATTTGATATATTTATTTCTAGCTGAGGACATTAAACATTGACTAATTTCAACAGTTCTTTCTCCCAAACAAACAGTTGTTGACATACAGTAAAGGACAGTTTGAAGGTTAAATAAAATAAAACTACAGATTATCAAACCGTTTTCTCAAACTTTCCTAACTAGTGTCCCTGAGGTGCTGCCGGAGGCAGAGGTCAGTCTGTGACAAGTTCAAAGACCTGAAAAAAGTTATTGAGGAAAATGATCCAATATTACTGCTTTGTGATGGTAAAAAGTACAGGTCCTTCTCAAAAAATTAGCATATTGTGATAAAGGTCATTATTTTCCATAATGTAATGATAAAAATGAAACTCATATTTCAGATTCATTGCACACCAACTGAAATATTTCAGGTCTTTTAATTGTTTTAATACTGATGATTATGGCATACAGCTCATGAAAACCCAAAATGCCTGTCCCAAAAAATTAGCATATCATGAAAAGGTTCTCTAAACAAGCCGTTAACCTAACCATCTGAATCAAAGACGTAACTCTAAACACCTGCAAAAGATTCCTGAGGCTTTTAAAAACTCCAAGCCTTGTTCATTACTCAAAACCGCAATCATGGGTAAGACTGCCGACCTGACTGCTGTCCAGAAGGCCATCATTGACACCCTCAAGCAAGAGGGTAAGACACAGAAAGAAATTGCTGAACGAACAGTCTGTTCCCAGAGTGTTGTATCAAGGCACCTCAGTGGGAAGTCTGTGGGAAGGGAAAAGTGTGGCAGAAAACGCTGCACAACGAGAAGAGGTGACCGGACCCTGAGGAGGATTGTGGAGAAGGGCCGATTCCAGACCTTGGGGGACCTGCGGAAGCAGTGGACTGAGTCTGGAGGAGAAACATCCAGAGCCACCGTGCACAGGCGTGTGCAGGAAATGGGCTACAGGTGCCGCATTCCCCAGGTCAAGCCACTTTTGAACCAGAAACGGTGGCAGAAGCGCCTGACCTGGGCTACAGAGAAGCAGCACTGGACTGTTGCTTAGTGGTCCAAAGTACTTTTTTCGGATGAAAGCAAATTTTGCATGTCATTCGGAAATCAAGGTGCCAGAGTCTGGAGGAAGACTGGGGAGAAGGAAATGCCAAAATGCCAGAAGTCCAGTGTGAAGCACCCACAGTCAGTGATGGTCAGGGGTGCCATGTCAGCTGCTGGTGTTGGTCCACTGTGTTTTATCAAGGGCAGGGTCAATGCAGCTAGCTATCAGGAGATTTTGGAGCACTTCATGCTTCCATCTGCTGAAAAGCTTTATGGAGATGAAGATTTCATTTTTCAGCACGACCTGGCACCTGCTCACAGTGCCAAAACCACTGGTAAATGGTTTACTGACCATGGTATTACTGTGCTCAATTGGCCTGCCAACTCTCCTGACTTGAACCCCATAGAGAACCTGTGGGATATTGTGAAGAGAAAGTTGAGAGACGCAAGACCCAACACTCTGGAGGAGCTTAAGGCCGCTATCAAAGCATCCTGGGCCTCCATAACACCTCAGCAGTGCCACAGGCTGATTGCCTCCATGCCACGCCGCATTGAAGCAGTCATTCATGCAAAAGGATTCCCGACCAAGTATTGAGTGCATAACTGAACATGATTATTTGAAGGTTGGCTTTTTTTGTTTTAAAAACACTTGTCTTTCATTGGTGGGATGAAATATGCTAATTTTTTGGGACAGGCATTTTGGGTTTTCATGAGCTGTATGCTATAATCATCAGTATTAAAACAATTAAAGACCTGAAATATTTCAGTTGGTGTGCAATGAATCTGAAATATATGAAAGTTTCATGTTTATCATTACATTATGGAAAATAATTACCTTTATCACAATATGCTAATTTTTTGAGAAGGAGCTATACATGAACCTTTGCTTTCAGTACCTGATTCAGTATCTCACAGATGGGATAAGGTTCTTCTGTAGGAATGTAGAGTTTTCATTTCTCCAAACATAAAACTTTTCATTTAAAACCAAAAAAAGTTCTATTTTGGTCTCATCGAACACAAACATTCTTCAACAGTCTTCTGGTTTGTCCACTTGATCTTTATCAAACTGCAGACGAGCAGCCATGTTCTTTATGGAGAGCAGTGTCTTCTCCTTCAACCCTGCCATGAACCATAGTTGTTCAGAGTTCTCCTGATGGTGGACTCATGAACATCAGCATTAAGGTGAGAGAGACCTTCAGTTGTTAGAAGTTACCCTGGAGTCCTTTGTGACCTCACTGGCCACACCTTGTTCTTGGAGTGATCTTTATTGGTCCACCACTCCTGGGGAGGGTAACAATGCTCTCGAGTTTCCTCCATTTGTCCACAATCTGTCTGACTGTGGAGTTGTGGAGCCCAAACTCTTCACAGATGTTTTGTAACATTTTCCAGCCTTATAAGCATCAACAACTCTTTGACGTCCTCAGAAATCTCCTTTGTTCCTCCATGATCCGCAAACATGTTAAGAACAGACTTTGATAAATCCAGATCTTTAAATCAAACAGGTCCACTCACACCTGATCATCATCCATTGATTGAAAACACCCGACTAACTTCACCTTCAGATTAACATAATCCTAGAGGTTCACATACTTTCACCACATATCAGTAATATATTGGATCATTTTCCTCAATAAATAAATGACCAGGTATAATATTAGTTTCATTTGTTTAACTGGGTTCTCTTCATCTACTTTTAGAACTTGTGAAAATCTGATGTTTTAGGTCATATTGATGCAGAAATATAGAAAATTATATAAAGAGTTCACAAACTTTCAAGCACCACTGTATCACAGTTAAAACTTAGTGAACAGCAGAAGACATTAAAATTACCTGCTCATGGTTTGTTTTGCAGTTTGGAGAACATTTAGCAACTTTTAAGTCAGCCAATAACTACTAATGTTTCTGAGTTAGGAATGTGGCATGTTATGGGGCAGCTGTGGCTGAGTGGTTAGAGCAGTTGTCCTCCAACGCGAGAGTTGGGGGTTCGAATCCACCAGCAGTCACATGTCGAAGTGTCCCTGGGCAAGACACTGAACCCCTCATAGCCTCTTACGTGTATTCCAATCAGTGTATGAATGTGATAAAGCTCTGATTAGTCTCTTTAGAATGATTTGTTCAATTAGCTTTGTAGAGATCTAGTAGAGTGCTGTATGAATGGGTAAATGAGGCACATATTGTAGTGTAAAGCGCTTTGAGTATCTTGAAATAAGATAGAAAGGCACTATATAAGTACATTCCATTGACCATTATGTTCCTGCTGAGCTGAAAACTTGTTTTCTGGTCATCTGTTTAATATTGTTCCTGTGTTCATCTCTTTTCCTGATGAATTCAAAAAGCGTTCAATACAAAAACAACTGGACTTTATTTGTAACAGAAGACGTTTCGCTCCTCATCCGAGGAGCTTTCTCAATTCAAAGAGCAGTGAGTGAGGGGGTTCAGGTTATAAGGCTGAGTGAGATAAGACACACACACACATGTAGATTGGCAGTTCACACCTAAACACCTAAACAGTAGGTCTTTGTTCATCTAATTCACAGACGAGGCCCCTCTGTTCCCATCAAGTGTGAAAACTGGCTGGGAATCTGTTTTAAAGTTGCATTATATGTTTTTGAAAGTGGAAATCTGAGGCCTCCTCCTCTGTTAAGAGACAGCTTTTCTCTTTTTACATAAATTGCTTCCTTCACCCCCCTCTCAAACCATCTGTGTTCTCGGTCCAAAATGTGCACATTTTGGTCCTCAAAAGAGTGTCCCTTATCTGTAAGATGGAAGTGAACTGCGGAATTTTGTCCAGAGGAGGTGGCTCTCCTGTATCGAGCCATGCGTCTGTGAAGAGGCTGTTTAGTTTCTCTAATGTAGAGGTCTGGACAGTCCTCGCTGCACTGGACCGCATACACTACACCACTCTGTTTGTGTATGGGTGT